CTTACAGTGCTTACTTTGGGGCTAGGCTAATTGGTGTGAGTGTTGGAAATATTTATTATTATCATTTGTGACATTTTTAACTGCTTTTTTATTGGTCTGTCCGGGTTTTGGGCTCCAAAATCCGGGGTTATCACGCGTCTTGTCCTGGTTGTCACATTTTAGAGATGGCAGCCCTACGTTAAACAAAGGTTGGCCAAAATATTCCACCAATGGTGTCAAATATTCTTATCGAAGGTTTGAATTATGATTTTATTAGAAATATGACTTTACTTAAATATTAGTGTAAAGAATAAAAATATAGGTAGTGTACTAGTGTATTTTATTCGTACTTACTGAAAATAAAACTCCAATAGAAACATTGCTTGTTTGTTCTTATTTTTTGCAACTTTTAAATGCACATTATCGTCATGACGCGTGTTTACAATGGTTGTGTATTAAGCGAACTAATTAAAAATAAGATCTCACGCCTCAAGCGAGGCTATATTTACCGAGACTGATTTTACGTGCTGCCCCTTTATCTATAGTATTGTTGATCGAACTCGAAATTGAGGCCTCAACGTTTGAATGAATATATTAAAGCCAATGGAAATCATTTTGAATGAGCTTTTTTAATGTTATTAGGTATATTAATGTATAAACTAACACACATTACATTAATAAATGACTTATGCGATAGAAAAACATTTTTTTTCGTAACAATATTTATGGCAGAACTAGTTATATGTTGGTAAAAAACTGAAATTCCAAAAAGACGAATTCTGGTTGTGAATTTCTTCCCTGTTATCTAAAGCCAGTCCTCAGATTACAGAACAAAATGCAGATGGAGCGCACGGAACACGCAATGCGTGGCGTGACGAAAGCAAATACGAAGTCAAAAGCGACCATCGATTCACGTAGTAAGTACACCACAACGCATCGTGTTATGATGACATACGTCCCGTGAATATTAAGTTTTTATCAAAACTGTGCCGCCTTGTCCTTACATCGTAAAAACTATTCACAAAGACAAAAAGAGCATTTACTTTTGACTTCGTATATTTTGCTTTGGTGGCACGCATTGCGAGTACCGTGCGCACCATCTGCCATTTGTTCTGTAATCTGACAGCCATACTAATACATATCGCTAAACACTCGCACTAAAGTCAATAAACAAGGTATAAAAACCAGTACACTGTCTGTAGTTGTTAAAACACTTTAATAAATGTTTGTCCCTTCAGTCCAGAAATAAAGAATGCTGTTAGCGAAAATACAATTGTTCGTATTTCAGCCTCATTGCGCATTCTAGTCATCGTACAAGTGAACTGCAAGCGCGAAAAAAGGGAATGAAGTATTTTAGTGTTTTGATATTCTGAGGATCATAGAATGAATCATTCTTAAACGATTCTCAGATAAGTACTTAATTTCTTACATATGTTATGGTTTGTTTGTAACTGGTATCTCGACGACATACATATTATATTATCGTCGGCAAGTCAATGTTAAAATATTAATATAGATAATTTTATAAAGGTAGTTTTATTGGAACATGTTTAGAAGGTGTAAGAAAGGAAATGGTGTACAATAGACAAAAAATTATACGTCAATAATTATGGGTAAATAATTTTCTAAATAGGGTTTTCGTTTTAACAAATTTAATTAAACAAATAAGCAATATCACTTTCCTTAATATAGTAATATATTTAATGCGGACTGCGGAATTAGGGAACCGAGTTGAATCGTTTTGCATTGAAGGAAGGATGCTGAATTTTGACTCGTTTTGTAAGTTCCCACAATGACCAATCGTGTGAACATTTTAGCATTGTGTTTGTGGGTGAATGTTACGAACGTATCTGTTTAACACTCTACTCATGCATGTTTGGATTACGAAACATTCCTGGCTGTCCATTTGAAGCATATCTACAACCTTGGCTAGGTGTAAAACAAGACAACCTTTAAAGTAAGTTAAAATTTAAAGTAGACTTGCAACAAATAGTATATTCGGCAGTATACCGAATACCGAATATTCGGCGAGGCCCCTGACCGAATAGGCTGGATTTTAGCGCCAAAAACTTGTACAGATGTGATTGTTTCGCGCTCCGTTGTTTGCAGTGCAATTCTTCAGTGAAATACAGTTTCAACAGAAATGGATCTTTTCTTAAATATTAGTAATATATCACGTCATGACAACCTGTATACATGGTGGCAGCAAGGAAATTTGAATTTCCGAGTTTGATTAAGATTGCAGCAAAATATTTGTCGGCGCCAGGAAGTAGTGTTTATTCAGAGCGTCTTTTCTCTGAAGCTGGGATGGTCTACGAGAAAAAAAGAAGTAAACTACTTCCTAAAAATGCAGAGTTACTCTTTCTGCACCATAACCTTTCCCGTCTAAATTTTAATTATGAAAATAATTCCAATACATAGAAAAATTAACTTGTTTAATACAGAAAATGATTAAATTATGTACCTGTTTTATGTACCAATGACTACCTTAATAAATGATTATAAAAGAAATGAGAACCTTACCCTTTTAAATTTTGATTACCACAATAATTCAAATACATAGAATCCTCCATTTTTCCAATTCAGAAGATGATTATGTACTATATTATTTAATTGTTCGGTATTCGGCCGAATATGATATGTAGATATTCGGTATTCGGCCGAATATAATAAAAGCAGCCGAATAGGCCGAATACCGAATAGTAACCGAATATTCGTTGCAAGTCTAATTTAAAGTGAAAAAGGTATATTTGTTTCTTAGGTTTTCACGCACATCACTCATTAAATAAAACTAGTTTAAACGGGATAATGCACGAAACTTTATTTATTTATTGACGTTTCGTAGCCTTTCCAGGCTTCGTCGTCAGAATAAAACTTTTTTTCAAAAACTTTTTTTCAAAAAGTAGATGCGCGGTAGATGGAGCTGGCCAGATTTTTATATAAGTATTTTGATTCAAGTACCTTTTTCACTAAATAAAACTAGTTTAAACGGGATAATGCACGAAACTTTATTTATTTATTGACGTTTCGTAGCCTTTCCAGGCTTCGTCGTCAGAATAAAACATTTTTTCAAAAACTTTTTTTCAAAAAGTTTTATTCTGACGACGAAGCCTGGAAAGGCTACGAAACGTCAATAAATAAATAAAGTTTCGTGCATTATCCCGTTTAAACTAGTTTTATTTAGTGAAAAAGGTACTTGAATCAAAATACTTATATAAAAATCTGGCCAGCTCCATCTACCGCGGAACTTAAAGAAAAGAATATGTTACCACTTTCATCCGAATCGTTCTCCTGAGTTAATATAATTAAGGGAATTCAAGTTTATGCATTTTTAGGAAACTAATTTTAAGTTGAGTTCACAATATACATATAGTGCCTTGTGCCCTTGTAAGTAGCCAATGTTACTTAAATGTTCATTATGATTCTTCATGCTCATAATTTCAGAGATATGCGCGAACACAATACAATAAAAAATAATATACTCATGAATTGAGAAACTCTTCCTTTTTGAAGTCGGTTTAAAAGTTCAGTTGTCTAGACTAAACCATTTCCGTAGTTTCTTATATCAAAAAAGGTTAAAACTCCAAACAATGTCAAGTATCCATGCAGAACAGTCGCCCTTGACCGCCTTTTGCCTTTTATGTACAATATTATTTATTACGGTTCATTCTATTTCAAGCATTCCTTATTCTATATGTAGTATAGCGTGGAGATATAAAATGATTCACATCGCAATTATCAACTCAGGTTCACGAGACAACGTATAATGACCTCAATTTATAATTGTTGTTATAAAAGCTAAATGTAAATCACTATTCATAGTAACCAGATGGACCAATTTATTATACTGTATAAAATTTTCTATTGTCGCCCCAAATCAACTAAATCATCTTCAAAGCTAGGATTTGAACTTCGTTTACTGCATCATTTCGGGAATTCCTTTTGATTTTGTTAACTTTTACTTCAGAATTCCCGAGAATTATTTACCGAGGTGAATAGTGCCATAAATTATACTTTTTTAAGGGAATCCGTTTAGCCATATCAGTATGATTTTGGGCAACAAACGGAAAAGTGTATTTTTACTATAATAATAGGAATTTGTATAGGTTAATAAATACATATTATGATACCTACGACAAAAAAATCGGTACATGTAATAAAAGCAATTGTGACTTGTGAGAAACAACGAAGGTTAAACCTCAGACACCACAGTATCACACCATGAAAACCCTGTATCAGGATATAATTAAGAATAAATTACCTATCCTATTTCTTAATCGATATGAAAACTACTTGTGTGCCTAATTTAATCCAAATAAGTGTAGCTGTTTTTGCGTGATTAAAAACAACTACTACTACCCAAGAGTAAAAATTATATTTTTCAATTATCTACTCTACGGCCTGAATATATGCTTCCGTGGCAAAATCACTTAATAGTTATTTATTATACAAGAGTGGAAAGTTCCTTTTTAACCGCGTGCTCGATTTGGATGACCGAGCAAGCGAAGGATTCTAAAGTTGAATCACGAGCGCAGCGAGTGATTCTAAATTAGAATCCTGAGCGTCAGCGAGGGAAACAAACGAGCACAAGGTGAAAAATCTTTCCACTCGAGTGCAATACGTAACTTTTCATCCCACCTCAGCGAGGAAATGACAAAATGAAAAAGAAAACAATTTATAATGACAAAATATTTAAGCAATAAAACGTGAAAAACTAGAATGGCGCGAAGCACGCAAATAAAACAAAGAAACCAAGAAGGTTCCAAATTTAAATTTTTTCACAATTTAAAAAGTTCTAATCATAAATTTGGCACCATAGAGGTTACATTAAATAGGTTTAATGACGTTTTGAATTTACAATTATATTGAGTACTCATTATATGTGATGTTCTAAATTCAAATCTACTTTGCCGCTCAAGCGAATAAAATAGAATTTTCCAGCCAGATTTCGAAGCGCAAAATTACACTTTCCGAGGTGGTGGGATGAAAAATGTATTTAATTCTATTGTGGTTTCCTTTAGCAGACACAATGAAGAGTAGAAGTTTGGCAGGCAATTGTGGCATTGGTGTGTTCGTCATTGCCCTTGTCACAGTGGCATTGGCATTTGGTACGCCCAGTTGGCTGGTCAGCGACTCGAGAATAAGAAGTGCCAGGTTGGATAGGTAAGTAATACGATCTGGCTAGAAAAACAAGCTTTTTTATTGCTGACTGTATGCAACGCCACGTTAGGTTATTTATTAATGCCAATTGTTAAGATTTAAAAATAAATGGAGCTTTAAGTTATAGATACCTAAAGATAAATTCAGACATGCGGTAACCTTATGTAATTATGAGTAGGGAACATGTTTGTGTGCACATTGAGTTTGTTTTAAATAGAAAGTATTTTTGATGTAAATATGAATATGACAGAAAATGATAAGAATGTGGGTTTATGTAGGTCTATTTCACATGATCATGACTCACGAGTGCTTTAGTTCTTGTTCTGAGCTCATGAGTCACTTGACAAAAAATAAATAAACATGTCTTCGAGCATGTTGTGCAATCCTTCTTTTTATTTTTCATGGGTTTTTGTACAAATTGTGCCCATTTATTTAATAGTTTCCTAAGATATTCCTTAGTTATATAGTTCCTTATATCAAATTTGTAAGCCAAAATTTCGAGTCTGATGAAGTTTTTTTTCTTAGTGCTATGCTAATTAATGTAAACTTTGTAATTTAGTATCTTAAACTTGGTTAAATCAGTTTTAAAACCTTTTGTGAAGTTATTTTGTATGCTACTTAATAAGAAATTGTTAACTGGATGATGGTCTGTAATTATTATGCTCATTTAGGTTGGGATTATGGAGCCACTGCTTCAGGTCTCTCCCAGACCCGTTGGATCAATATCAAAGAAGATTTTTCGTGGGATGTCGCTGGGTGTACGATCCTTTTACCACTGGCTATGACAAAATCCGTGGTTATTTACTTCCAGGTCAGTTGTTTTTCTTGTTTAAATATTTTTCTATGTAGTAGGTATACTGGGTAAAAGTCAATTATTTGCATAAGTACATAAGGGAAAAGTGAGTTGATATAATAATTTGTACAGTATTTATGCCAACAACACTTATAATCATTTCTTTTTTCAGGTTTCATGATAGCAACTCAGTTTTTCTTTACTTTATGTCTCCTTGGCGTTTTAGTATCGACAATTTTGGTTTTAATTTACTTCTTGTGCTGTGGCCCTGATCAAGGCAGATTCTTTATATTAATAAAAAGTATAGGATACATTATGCTGGGAGCAGGTAAATGAATTATTTAAAATTTGTGATATAGTTTAATATGAGAAATGTAGTAATAAATTTAACATGTACGTCCATAATTTTTACTAGGTGTTTGCGGAGCTATCGGTGTCATTGTATTCGCTTCTTTGGGAAACACAGACGGTTGGATGCCAGATCATCCTAATAATTATTTTGGTAAGTAACTACCTATAAGCAATATTAAGGGCGACCCCAACAGACCCATACCCATAGGTACATATTTTATTCCCGAAAAGAATAATTTGAGTAGGTATTTAGTTTGGTTTTATCAGGCCTGTATGCTAAATGGATACCTACACGATTATTCTGTTGAGCAGCTACGCTCATACACTCGGTAATCAGATCCAATTACCATAACAAGCCGCTTCCACATAACTATAGATAAAGCATTTGTTTTAATTATAGTAAACGACATTTTTGACATATTAGGCTAGGCATATTTATTGCTTTTCAGCTTATACTGAAAAGCAATAAATATGCCTAGCATTAGGATTAAATTTAATGATGAAAACCTATTAACATTTGTAAGCACAAAGATCCTTACAAGAAAATAAAAACAACCGACACACTTGAGTTTCGGCCCAGACTCGAATCATACATATAAAAAAAAACTTGTTACATTCCAAGAAGTTCTTTATTGTATCCTATGCTATTTTAAAGTTATAGATACGTCATACACGCTTCTAATTTGGCAATACGAAAGTCAGGTAATTGCCCGACTTGCATTCAGTCGGGCACGCTTTCTCGCCGCCGCTTCACGGTATTTTACGTTTTTCCAGACAAAAAGCCCTATGTGTGTTTTTAGATAGTATACAAAATAAACAGGAACTATTAGAGACAAGAAATATGTGTCGTTTCAATTGCAAGTACAGTTTAGAAAAAATTTCTTCGTTTTTATCGGATTTACTTCGACCCAGTGCAGTGTCGTGTCGTTGTTCGTGTGAAAACGCTGTAAAGTTGACTTAATTGTAATTATTACGTTCCGATTCACGTAACTTGGCCGTATTTGTCAGGAGTTTGCATCTTCGATACATTGGTTAAAAACTTCGATGTTTATTCGATATTGAGGTAATAACGATACATCGGTTAAATACGCTACATTGTTAATAAACATTGAGTGTTTAAAATATATCGATGTATATCGTTCATCGCTATAAAGCAGCATGTCTAATTATCTGAGTTTATGCAAAATTCTTAAAAAAAACGATTTATCAAATCATCCTATAACATAAATAAAAACATATCGCTTAGGTACGTCGTCCAGAGGTAACGTAATGTTTGTTGCAAATGTAAAAGATTGACTATTTTTTAACAGGATGGTCATTCGGGCTTGGCGTGGTAGGGGCAGTGGCCTGCCTTGTAACGGCTGCTTTATTCCTGACTGAGGCGAACATACAACTAAAGAAACGCGACAAGTTGAAAGAATCTCAAGCAAGATTTGAATTAGAATACGAATCTAAGGCATGATTTTTGCATCAGGTTGACAATCTGAGGCTTTTATCTCTCTTTACAGTGCCTTTAGTAGTTATTAAATATTTTATACCTAGTTAGTCTGGTCTGATATTTATTATTGTATCAGTTGTATGTTACATCATTTTATAGAAGTTAAGACGACAACTTAGATACTATATTAGTTAAAATAAGGTCATCTATTGCAAATAAGTTTTGCATTTTTTTTCTAATTATCTAAAACTCAAATTTTAACTGCACCATTGTTGTATTATGGAATTTCTACATTTTATCACACAAAAATAATATTGATATAAGTATTTGTAAATTAGAATTTTAGAATGTTTACATAATACTGCTAACCGTATTTGGGCCAACTAGAATTAGAATTTTATACATATTTTACTTTTAAAAATCCATTGTTTATAATATAATATACAACAGTAAGTGTTTGTGTTGAAATCTACTATATTTTGTCAATTTAATGCTGTGCACTTGTTTGTATGTTTGTGTATGAATGTGTTAACTGAATTGTTTATTTAATCAAAGTACAAAAGCAATTTTAACTACAACACAAATAGTATTTTAATAATAGGTCAAATAGTATTTTGTAAAGAAAAGCAACATGTATGCATATTCTCATTTAAGACAAAGATAACTTTATAGAGACTACCTCTACATTTTACCAACGAATACAAATGCACAGAACCTATTAGTGTTGTAAGGAAATAAAAATATTGCACTTTATTTTAAAACACTAACTGTTCTAGATTAATTGTATTATAATTTATTTGACAAATGCAATCAATTCCGTCCATGTCTGAGGAAAATTAACAGTGTGTGATTATTTTGCTTATGTTAATAGCAGTTAGCAGAACAGTTGAGCAGAGATGACTATTTAACCAATTTAAAGTTAGTCTTTCGTTTGAAAGTCAGTACGCGTAATATAAAGCTACGGCCATACTATTGCACTATCGCGAACATTTGTCGTTTTCACAAAATTTCGTTTGCATAACGAAATGATTATAGTCCGACAAGGATCTATATGAATGTGGCGAAAGTTGGAACTAACGCCACCGTCTTTGTAAACGTCATATTTTGTAAATCATTTACGTAGACAGTGGCGCCACCAAGAACTGACACACATTTTTGAAGATCCTTGTCGCATTGTATTTAATTCGATCTCTTTTCCTCCTTTGTCTGCACTGACTTAACACTCTTCGATTAGATTATCCGAAAGTGACTGTAACGCTAATTTTTAGAGTACGAAGAATCTCGATAACTGCCGTCCATAATCGTATTTTATACTTATTTTAATAAAATTATTTTAAATACTTAAATGTTTTTTTTAAAAATTGTTCATTACGGTGGGTTCAAACTTTAAACCAAATGTATTTGTACGTGTTATATAATCTGGACGCACCCTTAGATTAAACTTATGATATAACTATACTTATCTGTCGTGTTGTGATGACGCGTCAAAGAGGTAACGGTTTTATTTATTTACTACGGTTAGAACTACATTGTGTGTCGCGATGTGTTGTGATGTGTCGCATCTTCTCTGTCTACGGTCGCATCAGAAGACTCCGAACGCATCAGAGAGGTGGGGTGAGAGGGGCGGGGTATTTAGGAATTTAAAATTCCTGACATAAACCTGACATTTCGATAAAAGTTCGGATTTGAAAGATTTTTATATTCTGTTTTTTTATAAATGAAAAGTTAAAAGAGATTAAAGATAAAGACTTGATTTATATTATTTTAAATATTAAATATTACTAAACAAATAAAAACTAAGATCATTAAAGAGATCAATTATCATTTTCAATTAAACGGGGTTTGGCATTTGGTAAATGAATGATTCAGCCCGGACGTTCGGCGTGTTTGTCCACACGTCTCACGACGCATCAGTAGTATTGGAGTTGCAAATGAGAGTGGACGCGTGATCGCAATAATTTTTTGGTCGTTTGTTACTCTCATTTGCCGAAATGGCTAATGTTATAAGCACTAACGAAACACTTAAAATTCATTGAGTAGTATTCAAGCCGAAAACTACCTGTGGAATCTGAAAAATAGCCAGCAGCCACTTTTTTTTTTTTTTTAATAATTATACTGCGATGTACCTCAAGTAGTAGTTAAAAGTACTAAATAAATAAATAATTTCGGCAGCTACGATGTCAACATTTATTTTTTTAATGTTGTGTGCGTACAGTGCGTACGAATTGCGTCTGTTGAGATTGAACATAGACTGCAAGACCTACAGACGTCGTCACTTCGTCAGAGCCGACACTGCTCGTGGTGCTGCTGTTGCATCTTTTGACGTCTGCGGACGCATCTGTCAACGTGTAGAGGAGGCATAAGAACGTCATGACATAACACACAATGCGTTGAAATGACGGATAACTACGCAACGCACAATGAGAGGAGTGTGACGAGTCGGGGAAGGAAGATATGTTGAAACAAGTTCAAACGACGCATGACCTTCTCATTCCTTTTAGGCTGTAGAGCATGATAGGACAGCCTGATGTCAAGTTTACAAATAGCAAAGACGAATAGCCAACCAAGTGAAGTGACAGCATATCCATTTGAGCGCCAAGTGGCCAAAGTCACATCACAGTATTGTTACTAGACAAGCACTTACGTGCTGACCCTATGGGTCAACTACATGTGGTCTATAGTAGACAAAAAAGCTAGCTTACTAACTAGCTGAAAAAGGTAATGAAAAAATATTATTACTGGTATTTTAATTCTAAATTATTGTTCTATCTCAGCCATGTGCGAGTCGTGGTGCGAGTATAAAAAATGCTTTAAGTAAATTGACCCTCTGCAGCAGGAGGAAAGATTTTCGAGATAAAAATAAAATTGAGTAGTTACAATTCATAAATTTTTTTTCAACACGTTTGCGTAAAAAATGCATATACGGAGGTTGTATAAATTGTTCGAATATTCAAAATTACGGAGCCATCCAACGGAGCGTGCGGTAAAACCTTTAACCACACTCTCCCATTCATGACGGCGTGTCTGGACTGGAGACACCCTTCTGGTACCTGGGCGGGCTGTGGCGTCTATCTTCTTTGCGGTGTAGGAAAGCCATCAGACTGTAATGAAGCGGTTTACCCTCCCATAAGAAGTTATCTCTTCAAAAAAGAGACGAAGTATGTAGTTCTAATTTTCACCGCACGTAACGTCATTTGGAAATACGCGCTATTTTCTTATTAGAAAAAAGTTTGCTTAATTACATAAATTAGGTAGGTATAGGTACTGTTTTCTCGCGAATTTGTTGAAAAACGTTGTATGGACATTCGTGCGGAATTGGTATTTACCTATTGACATACACGCTTCTAGTTTGGCAATACGAAAGTCAGGTAATTGTCTGAACTGAACTATAACCTACCCACTACACAGTATCATACCATGACCGTGCTATGAACGTGTCAGGCAAAAAAATATTCTTTGTATTAAAAAGTATGAGACAATACCCACTAGCACGTTCCGTCACCGACCAGCACCGTCGCGTGCCATGCACGGAGCGGCTACTATTGTCGGCGAGAATATTTTGCCGGTGCCGATACGCTCCGCGCATGGCACACGAAGTTGCAAAACCGATGCGCCCAGGCAACAAAACGGTGGCTATACGGGTTAGAACCGCGTATGATGACCGTTATATAGGCGTCTTAAACGCCGGAAGTACTGAAAGAACTTTTCTACATCTTCAATTAAGTGCTTATACAACGTCCAAAATTCTCCTTCAGTTTTTCGTTCTTTTATAGAATCGTGAATCCAGTAGGGTCGAGTGGTTTTTTTTGATTCTGTTCTTCTTCCTCATCCAATATTATGGCAATCATTGCCAGTTGTCTAACAATTAATGTTTTAATTGCCATACCTATTGTATTTAAAACTTGATAGCACTCCGTAGACGTCCATTCATTACCGATACACGTAAGAATGAAACGGCTTCTTATCGATTTTGGTGAAGACGTCATACAAATTACGCAAAGGCAACATACGGGTTGCATACGGGCATCATTTATTTATTTATTTAACTATTTACTACACAGTATACTTACAGTGCTAAACCAAATCGTACACTGGTTAAAAAAAACAAATCTAACAGCTAAACACTATGCATACAACTTAAATATGATATTATATAATAACAAAACACACATAATTTTTGGGATAATATGTCAGCCTCCGGAATTCGATCATGTACAGCGTTAAGCAAAGAGATTGCTCTCGAAGTCGGTGCATTTTGAGCTCGTCGCGTACGGGCTCTCTTAAGCTCCGCAAAAACTTTTGTTCGTCTGCGTGGCGCCCCTACGTTGCCCAACGCTCCGCTCATGTGTCTTTTCGGAACGACCAGTTTCATATTTGCAAGAAATTGCTGATTATGGATGATCGCATGGCAATGCAAAGCCAAAGAGATTTTCCGACGCGAGGCGAGAGTATCCTGCCCCACTATACTAGATACAAACATAGATGGGTACATAAATGGATAATAACCATACAACCACTTATAAATATACCTGAGAAATTTTCGTTGTATCTTCTCAATCATATAATTGTATCTATGTTCATACGGGTCCCAAACAATCACGTTGTATTACAGTTTGCTTCTGACGTATGCATTATACAAAATTAAAGGTATTCTAACGTCGCTGGATTGTGAGCTTAGTCTCATTACAAATCCCAGAATTTTATTCGCATTTTTGCATATTTCCTCAATGTGTTTCCGGAAGTCTAGACGCGAATCTAGTTTAAGCCGTAAGTCCCGAATGTCATTCACAGTGTGTAGAGAATTAGCATTGAGCGTGTATCTAAAGTTAATCAATTTACTGGATCTGCTGAAAATCATAATACTACACTTTTGCTCATTAAATTGTAGACGGTTCTCAACAGTCCATTTGGCTACTGCATCGATATCGTGCTGCAGCAGTTCAGCATCCATATGATTACTGACACCCAAGTAAAGCTTTAGATCATCAGCAAACATAAGACAGCTGAAGCAACTACTTCGGGTAGGTCATTTATCATAATCAGAAATTGAGTAGGTCCCAGATTACTACCCTGGCTTACGCCTGAGCGCGTAAAATAATATTCCGATCCATATCCATCAATCTCTACATACTGCTTTCTATCTTTGAGATAACTAGCAAAAAGATGCAGAAGTTTTGGAGTGAATCCCATCGAGGCAAACTTTTCCAACAGCACATCGTTATCCACTAAATCGAAGGCTTTTTGAAAGTCAAAATACGCCACATGAACTTGCCTCTTATCATCCATTGTACGATAGATATAATCAACAAAATTCATGTGGTTCGTAGTAGTTGATCGGCCTGAACGAAAGCCATGTTGAGAATCATTAATATTCATATTAGTCTGCCTTCTAATATTTATTTCTAAGATTGACTCCAAAAGTTTCCCGAATACAGACAGGATTGCTATAGGCCTAAACTGTTTTACCTCAGAACCTGACGTCTTAGGAGCTGGAGTAACCCTAGATATTTTCCACTCTGTAGGATATTTTTTTTAAAACAATCAATCATCATACGGGGTGCACACCGGCAACATACGGGCATTATACGCCATTAGACGACCCCCTTAGGGCTAGAAATTACAAAATGAAATCGTAAGCGATAGCGTTTTCCAAAGCAATCCAGTTAGGCGATTGGCCCCCTGGTTTACCCGTTACAAGTCCATACGTTCGTTCATTCGTTGAAATAAAGCAATTTGAAACTTAAGTATATAGCGCGGGAGTTGATATTTGTTCATTTTTTAAACTAGAGTTGTTACAGTGAAAAGGTAAGAGTATTTTTATATTGCGTGAAAGAGAACGTCGATGGATCTGGCTAAACGATGCAGTGCAGGATGAACGGGTTTATAATAATGGTTTTCCTCAAGTAGTTGCAGTTTTGTTTATTGAAATTTGAAATTAGTGTGTTGCGAGGTCAAGGTCAAGGGACACGTGAATGCCAATTTACTGCAAAGTTCGTTTAAATTGAATGTTTATTTTATGAGTTTAATTTGTAATTTATTTTGTAAACATTTAAATGATATAATGTAAAGCGAATACTAAATAAAGACCCCGTCGTCGTCGTGCGTCGCGCCCGTAGTCAGTCACCGAGTAGTTGATATGAACCCTTTAAAGCCTGCCGTTATCACGTCAACTAGTCGAAGAATTCAACTAGTTGATCGACTAGTCGATGGACGGTAGTGGACGGTTTCGTTTCGTCGATGAAAAATACGTCGACGACCCACCTCTAATGGCGTATAATGCCCGTATGTTGCCGGTGTGCACCCCGTATGATGATTGATTGTTTTAAAAAAAATATCCTACAGAGTGGAAAATATCTAGGGTTACTCCAGCTCCTAAGACGTCAGGTTCTGAGGTAAAACAGTTTAGGCCTATAGCAATCCTGTCTGTATTCGGGAAACTTTTGGAGTCAATCTTAGAAATAAATATTAGAAGGCAGACTAATATGAATATTAATGATTCTCAACATGGCTTTCGTTCAGGCCGGTCAACTACTACGAACCACATGAATTTTGTTGATTATATCTATCGTATAATGGATGATAAGAGGCAAGTTCATGTGGCGTATTTTGACTTTCAAAAAGCCTTCGATTTAGTGGATAACGATGTGCTGTTGGAAAAGTTTGCCTCGATGGGATTCACTCCAAAACTTCTGCATCTTTTTGCTAGTTATCTCAAAGATAGAAAGCAGTATGTAGAGATTGATGGATATGGATCGGAATATTATTTTACGCGCTCAGGCGTAAGCCAGGGTAGTAATCTGGGACCTACTCAATTTCTGATTATGATAAATGACCTACCCGAAGTAGTTGCTTCAGCTGTCTTATGTTTGCTGATGATCTAAAGCTTTACTTGGGTGTCAGTAATCATATGGATGCTGAACTGCTGCAGCACGATATCGATGCAGTAGCCAAATGGACTGTTGAGAACCGTCTACAATTTAATGAGCAAAAGTGTAGTATTATGATTTTCAGCAGATCCAGTAAGTTGATTAACTTTAGATACACGCTCAATGCTAATTCTCTACACACTGTGAATGACATTCGGGACTTACGGCTTAAACTAGATTCGCGTCTAGACTTCCGGAAACACATTGAGGAAATATGCAAAAATGCGAATAAAATTCTGGGATTTGTAATGAGACTAAGCTCACAATCCAGCGACGTTAGAATACCTTTAATTTTGTATAATGCATACGTCAGAAGCAAACTGTAATACAACGCGATTGTTTGGGACCCGTATGAACATAGATACAATTATATGATTGAGAAGATACAACGCAAATTTCTCAGGTATATTTATAAGTGGTTGTATGGTTATTATCGTAGCGTTTTCCAAAGCAATCCAGTTAGGCGATTGGCCCCCAGATACGTTTACGCGTCGTCGACGCTTTGTCAGTAGATATGAACGCTGTGGACTCTCAGTTTAGCCGTCTATGAATTCAACTAGTTAACGAATTAACTGTAGACCGTCGAAGCGTCGATTGAACGTAGACCGTCTATTTAAACCGTTCGTTAATTCAACGCCCATCGCTATACGCCATCGATCCGTTTCAGTGGGCACAGCAAGCCGTTTCGTGTCAGTTTCCGTGTTTGATACTAGTACAGTCAATCACTAGTAAGTCTTGTTTTTTCTGTTGCCAAATGACGTCAGTAAGCCACCTTGGCGATGGGCATGTTCAACTCGTAGGCGTTTTTGGAAAAACTCAAAAAAACCCTCAAAAAATTTTTGAAACGCATTTGTCTTGTTTTGTATGCATTTTAGAAACTTTTTTTTCAACCATAATTGTAGAGGTCGCTAAGTACTACAATTTATGTCATTGTTGCAATCTCGTACAACAAAAAATGCGCATTGTAGGTGGCGCAGTGGCGGTAGTCTCAAAAAAGTGAAAATATCATTTTAATGGAAAACTTTCAATGGAAAAGTTGTTCCGTACATAATTACCAACAACTTTTGTATAAACAATTTTTTTAAATTACTTACAGTTTTCAAGTTACAGTGCAATGCAGCGCTACGTATACAACACAGTGCTACTAACGGTAATTTTTTCGGTCCTATGGAGAATTTTTCTTATCATTATTACAATCATGAAAAAAAATTAAAAAAATAGTAAAACGAAAATAGTAATTGAAATGTGCACTGCAAATGTGTACTTGAACTGCCCAAAACCGCTCTATTGGATTTTTCATACCTGCGCAATTTATAACTTGAAAACGGTAAGTCCATAACCATAAGGCAACCCTTGGTATGGAATTGGATAGATGAAAGAGTTTTTCGACTTTACAATTTTCAAAATCAGTGGTGACGTCGAAATCCAATGAAAGTCATGGTCATCCAAGTCAAAACTGTTGTATCTGTCACTCGTCTCGTCGTATCAGTGATAGTTTTCCAATTACAGCACTACAGCGCATTATGCGGCACAATGCTTAACGTTGAATGTTCAACTACAGCAACGCTTCGCACAATCGAGCACTCTCAAAAGTAATGTTTTCGTGTCACACGCAATGCAATCGATACCAACTTAGTGACAGAAAACTAACAAGTGTTTTTTCTACAAGTTGGCATTGATCGAAATGTTTTATTTATTTCATATCGTTAGTAGTATTATTTATTGTTGAAAAAATTTTAAAGATCTCGTTTCATTGTAGTTTTTTTAAAATAATCAAAGTTAATTCAAACTGTGTTAAAAAAATAAATATAAGTATGGATGAAGGTAAAAACATTGATTATTTACATGAAAATGTACATGTTTTTTTTTCAACACTGAACTTTGCGCACTCTTCTGGTGCATTTGAAAACTAATTCACGTTCCAATTTTATATCAGCATAATTCGGGAGTGTGCGCCACTGAGTCGCATTATGCTCTGTAATTGGAAAACTACCAGTATGTTAACGCAGCCTATACATGGTCAACAAAAAACTGACAGTCCCCTTGCCTTCCCAGCAGAGGGAGAACTTAAAAAAAACTGTCAGTCATCTGACATGCACATGACAGCCAAATGACAAAAATGACAATGTCAAAGACTCGAAAATAAAAGGTGTAGCTTTGAGCGAACTTGTTTGTTTTTCTGAAAATAACAAATCTAATGAACGGTCAAATATTTACATGTTAAGATTTTCTTTGTTGTATATAATCGTGCACAAGCAGCAAAATGACTGCGGCTGATAATGAATATCCGAAGGCATCAAGTAAGGTTACTTGGGCACGCCCTGTTCCGATATATTGTTTGGTCCATCAAAACACTGTTACACTTAAATTAGTAACTGAAATTTGGTTACAAAATGCTATATAGTCGAAGAAGATTTTCTTGTTTGTATCTAAGTGCAAATTCGTAGGCAATACTTTCTCTTTTTAAATAATATGGTGTTATCCCCAGCTAAATATTTGCAGAAATAATTTCTTTTCAATCAATATGAACACTTCACAAAGAACTTTATTTGAGTTGATGTTCATTTATAAAATATGTGCTAAATAATTTAAGAAAAAAATTTTGTTACTTGGCTACATACATTTATTGAAAATTTTATTTTAATTGAATAATTACATTTTGTTTTCTCAGATGCCACCTTGATTGGAGCCAGTATAACATATGTGGCAGGCCTGTTTTTGCTGCTATCGTTTGCGGGCCCTTATTGGATAGAGTCATATCCTGAAATGTTTTCATCTTTTAAACACATGGGCTTATGGGAGTATTGCTTTGACCGTTTCCGATTTCCTTCCTATCAATTTGACAAATTATTCCATGGATGTCATTATATATTTAGTCAGGTTAGTCAACATTTATCTACTTTGTATATAATCTTTGATTATATACATGCCTAGATAATGCAATCCAAATAAATCATGCAAAGAAAACGGCTCATGTTATAAACAATGTGTGTTTTTAATGTCACATTGTTTGAAAGCAGTATGTGGATGTGTGGCGACAAGAATGTCTACCATATGTAGTAGATATTTTTTAGGTTATTTCCGTGCAGTTAATAATGTATTAGCCTGTATATAATTAAAGAATGCAATTTTTATTATTTAAATTATATGAATAATTTATGATTCTATTGTTAATTCTGTTGCAGGAGTACTATGTCATTCGTGAATGGTTATTGCCAGGCTGGTTGATGAGTGTACAAGCATTTGTAACACTTGCTCTCATACTATCTTTCACTGCCCAGATCCTTCTTGCATGTGTGATTGTAAGGTGGCCTTTGCGTCCAGTGTTGCGTTATGAATGGATATTTGTTACAATTTCATTTATAATAGTGACTTTATCCAGTAAGTGGAAGTATAATATGTATTTTTTTTGTATCAGCAAAGCCAGTGTTGACATTAATGAAGTTAAACTTATTTTAGGTGGCTTCTTATTTCTGGCTGTAGCAATATTTGGTGGTAACTGCTATCGTCGTGACTGGCTACTTTATCCTTCATTTAATGTTTTGTCTTGGTCTTATGCATTTGCTGTAATTGCCTTCATATTGTTTGGTAAGTAAATCTTAAAAAAAAAACATTTTTTTTTATTATTTTGCTGCTATCGTAATTATTATTTTAATAAATACTGTGTAGTGAAAATTAAGAATATATTAAGGCTTTGGTTCAATATCACAAAACTTAGATTATTATGGTTTATTCAATCTGGACTTAAATTGACTGATTATAAATTCACAAATTTGTGCTAAGGCCGTGCTGGATGAGTCAGACTTGCACAAAATTTTATTTCATATCTCCGATTTGTAGATAATCTTAAATGTAACAATGTTGATAAAATTGACATAAATTATTTTAGTTTCTGATGAATATTTGCATTTATCAGGTGCTGCTGCCATTCTTCTTTACCTTGAATCACGCAAGTTGTATGAGTTACGTCTTGAAGCAAGAAATCTAGTTGCACAAATGCAGCATAGTCAGCCTGAACATGCATTGCATCAACTTCGAGATCAGCTGCAGCAGCAACGTGGAATAGGTTGGAACATGTAAATCAAATATCTCTTTCTAGACTTATTGTCTAATTTTAGAATAAATCTTGCTCCCTATTCCATTATTATAGGTGAGCATAATTATAAAATATGGATTGAATCTCAACAAGCACTTCAAGCATACGCAACATGAAGAGATTTTAATTTGATAACCATATAATTTATCTTCTCTTAGATTTTATACAATTAAGTAGCTTTTCTGTGTATTATCATAAGGAGATTATTCAAATTTAGCATTTTAATTTGCAATGATACAATAGATTAGCTTTTAATAATTAATGTATCATGTTTTACCTAAATAATGAGTAATATCACAATTAATTTTAATTTATTGACTGATTTTGTTAACTTAACTTTTGATCTTGATTTATAAAAAATATATTGACAAAACAGATTAACATTATAATCTTTAGGAATAATAAACTGAAAAATAATTATCAGATATACTTTTTTGTAGTTTTATAACTTGTTATATTAGCCAAAAAAGGACTATGGTCTCATGATTTTTCTGCACAAATCAATAAATAAATTATGTTATTCCTAATAAAATCCTATAACATCTGATGTTATTAACTCCAGTGCCTTTGAATGAATTTAAAAATGGAATCACATTCTTTAACCTTTAGCTACTGAGGTGGATTTATTTTCACGTAAACACTGACGTGGGGGCAGTAGAGGCCCATACTTATGTGTGCTTATATTTAAAAATCTATAGACTTTCTAGGGATTTTTGGTTAATTATTATTATTAGTGGATATATTTAAATAAAATAAATTCATCATTATGTCATTTATTTCTTAAAAGGTAAGTATTATATCAGTGTTTAGAGAACATTTTGCATTTTTTTGCAAAAATCACATGAGATCATTTATCACAAAGTAATAATGAAAAATATTAAAAAAATCAACAAATCAACTTAAAATCTTAATGTCAAATAGTCTTTTTAGCAAATGGCAAATCAGTTTATAGTTAATATTAAAAAGGGGGAAAAAATTACAGACATCAAATAGTGCGAATTAAACACAGTCTGGACAAACTTGCTTTGCACATTGAAGGCATACATGCTTTTTGCATGCATAATATCTGTGTAGATTTCCTTTGAAGCTTTAAAGGACATGTATGGCACCTTCTCCTTTTCTTGGATTCTTCTTCGTTAACATCTGAACGGTCAGGTGCAAGCATATCATTTCCTAACACACGTGCTAAACTCAATCGTAACTCACGTGGCAACCTTTCGTTCAATGCACGTTTTTTAATTTGGGATAGAACTAAACTGCGAGCTAGTTCTTTCAATAAAAACCCTTTCAGTAGTCTTACGGTTAAAGGTGTCATCTATTTCTTCGCCCTCCGAGCCGCTTGAGTCTTCAAGATCTAACCAAGACGTAACCACTGTCTCAAAATCGCTATTTCCTGGCACTACTCTTCTTCTATTGCTGGTTATTTTTATTCCCGAGAAACCGCTTTCTTCCGGACGACGTACTGGGCTCCAGATTGTAAAAACTTTTAAACTACTGCAAGAAAATCAACGACAACTAAATCGAAATTATCTACAAAAAAGTTACGGCAATACTGAGGTGGGGTCTCTGAGGCCCACGAGAAACTTTAAAATGAATTTACCTAACGAAATTGCGCGCGCAAACACGTGCACAGTCGTTGACAGCCTTGGCGTAATTAAATTCGAAGGTATTAGAAGATTCGCGTGCGTCGTGCGCGAGGGAGGGGAGAAATTCAACAATTTTACTTTTTCAAGGCCTGACAGGCCCCCACATCAGTAGTTAAAGGTTAAATTAGATTGTTAAGATGAATATTGCGCATTTAATGATTTTAGATTTAAATCAAAATTGTATTTTTTTCTACTTTAAAGTGATTAAAGATAACACCTTATTTATAGTAAGTACTACAATCGTCTGCCTTTTATGTATAGGAACTTAACTCATGAAACTTTAAATAAATAAGTTGTTTTTTATCTCAAATTATAGCAATAGTGCTAAAATTTCTTTAGTTTACATTTTAAGTTAGTTTTAATGTTAAGTAAATATTGAGTCTCGCAACAAGATATTACAGAGAAAATTTGGTTTGTAAGTGTACAATTTAACACATTGGTTTTTAATACAAGCTAAACAAGCTTTAAAAAACACCATTTTTAGGCCCGCTTGCACAGTTCTTAATTCAAATTAAGGCTTTATCGTGTTTAACGCATCATTTCATGTTAGTAAATTATTTAATGTCAAAAAGATAGAATGAGGCTTATACAGTTAGTTTAGTTTTTGGTCTTATTTTAATTATTCTTTAATTCGTTCATAGTGGATATTGTGAAATAAAATTGGTGTGATGTTGTGTTACTTAACCGTCTGCGCAACTGAAGAATTAGTGGAATCTTTAAAATATACGCTATTCCGGTCAAGACGCTTATCGAGAAGGCTGATTCGATACATTTCGTGCCAAACACTCCAAAAAAACATTCGATTGCGTCAAACCCACATTCTAATATAAAAAAAGAACAAAGAAAACTGAAGACTAGGCTGTATGGGCATTGTTCCCTTTCCCCAAAAAAAAATGAGGCTTATACATGATAAGCTTTTCAATTTAAATTAAGAACTTGGGTGCAAGTAGTTGGCTAGTAGGCTAAAAAGCATCTATAGCTAACTTTAGTTATCTTATTGCAGACTCGAATTCGATCCGTCCACTTTATGCAATATTTTTGATTGATAAGCACTGAGTTAACATTAAATGAATTATTTTTAATTTGTACTATTTTTTCTTAAAATCAATAGAATCAAAATGAATTCATTAGTCCAGTCAACAAGTTCAAAAACGTGAAAAATAGAGATAAAGCTCCTAAAAATATGAGCAATAGCTCATTGGATTCGGAACGACCTCTAGAAAAATGAGTTTTGAGGATTTTACTGCACGTAAAAAATTGCAATTGTTATTAACAAAATAAGATGAAAAAAAAGAGGTATTTACGTTTTTGTTAATAACTCATAAACTATTAATATTTACGATATTTGGAAAAAAGGTCCTTAAAGAGGAGGAAATTTCCAAAAAAAAGTCCCAGCTCCCGGAACTCTACCTCTATTATTTATAATTTTAATTTACCGCTGAAAATAGGGCTCCGCGCAGCCATTAATGCATGGGCGCACTGCCGTTAAAGACAGTTTCTTACATAAAATTATATTTTTATAGTAACAAATATGAATTTAAAAATTTAAATAAATTATGGTGTCATCCAGATACTTGAAAGAATATATTCCCGTTGGATTTTTTTTTTTAAATTATATTTTCAAAAAGTTATGCAATTGTTAATTAACGATTTTTTTTCCTATCTCCGTTTTCATAAATGACGACATAAAAATTTAAATAATAAACCTATAAATTTTTGGCTCTGTGGAGCTCTTCTTATATATATACTTAACAAGATCCCGCGATAAAAGTTTATTAAAGTTAATTATTTTGTTTATAACAATTTTTTAAAGTTAACAAAAAATGAAAAGCCTAAGAAATGTTATTAAAAAAATTTTTTTAAACAAATGTTATATTATTGCTGCTTTCTTATCCAACAATGGCATTAAGTAACATCGGAAAAAAAATTTTTACATCATTTGTTAAGAAATTGTTTATAAACAAATAGACAAGTTTAATATTTAAAGAATTTTTTTTTTACCATTAAGTTGTCTTGGCAAAATAATGATTTTTTAAAAAAAAATTTCTTAAATAAATTTTTTTATTGTTTATAATCGTTTTTTTTATATTTCGATTGTTTAAATAATTAGTTAAGGAATGATTTTCTCTTTAAATTCATAATTGGCATTTCTTCATAGGTAAATAGAAAAAAAAAATTTTTTTTATCAATAATTTCATTGTTTGTTAACTTAACAATTTGTTATAAACAAATTCTAACTACCATTATATTTTTTTTCTAGAGCTAAAAAAAATAACAAAAACAGCCATATATATCAAAATACTAAAAAATTTTTTTTTCTATTTTTTATAACGCTTTTAAATATTACACGATACCAAAGTTGCACCGGACACTTGATTTGTCAAGTAAAAAATTAATATAACTTATAAACTATTCGAGATACGATAATGGACATTCAGGTCGTTTTTATAAAGCATTAATTAATCTTCAAAATAAGCTAAAAACCAAGTCAAGATCAAGTGTCCGATGCAACTTTGGTATCGTGTAATATTTAAAAGCGTTATAAAAAATAGAAAAAAAATTTTTTTAGTATTTTGATATATATGGCTGTTTTTGTTATTTTTTTTAGCTCTAGAAAAAAAATATAACGGTACTTAGAATTTGTTTATAACAAATTGTTAAGTTAACAAACAATGAAATTATTGATAAAAAAATTTTTTTTTTTCTATTTACCTATGAAGAAATGCCAATTATGATTTTTAAAGAGAAAATCATTCCTTAACTAATTATTTAAACAATCGAAATATAAAAAAAACGATTATAAACAATAAAAAAATTTATTTAAGAAATTTTTTTTTTAAAAAATCATTATTTTGCCAAGACAACTTAATGGTAAAAAAAAAATTCTTTAAATATTAAACTTGTCTATTTGTTTATAAACAATTTCTTAACAAATGATGTAAAAATTTTTTTTCTGATGTTACTTAATGCCATTGTTGGATAAGAAAGCAGCAATAATATAACATTTGTTTAAAAAAATTTTTTTAATAACATTTCTTAGGCTTTTCATTTTTTGTTAACTTTAAAAAATTGTTATAAACAAAATAATTAACTTTAATAAACTTTTATCGCGGGATCTTGTTAAGTATATATATAAGAAGAGCTCCACAGAGCCAAAAATTTATAGGTTTATTATTTAAATTTTTATGTCGTCATTTATGAAAACGGAGATAGGAAAAAAAATCGTTAATTAACAATTGCATAACTTTTTGAAAATATAATTTAAAAAAAAAATTCCAACGGGAATATATTCTTTCAAGTATCTGAATGACACCATAATTTATTTAAATTTTTAAATTCATATTTGTTACTATAAAAATATAATTTTATGTAAGAAACTGTCTTTAACGGCAGTGCGCCCATGCAGTAATGGCTGCGCGGAGCCCTATTTTCAGCGGTAAATTAAAATTATAAATAATAGAGGTAGAGTT